ATATATGCATATATATATAATATATATATATATATAATAAATATATATAATATTATATATATATATTATTACATATAGATATACATAATATATATATATATATTATATTATATATAATATAATATATAATATATATATATATAATATATATATATATATAATATTAATATATACAACATAAACACACACCACACACACACACACACACACACAACACACACACACACACACACAACACACACACATATAATATATATATATATATATATTATAATATATTATATATATATATGTTGTGTGTGTGTGTGTGTGTGTGTGTGTTTGTGTTTGTGTGTGTGTGTGTGTGTTGTGTGTGTGTGTGTGTGTGTGTGTGTGTGTGTGTGTGTGTGTGTGTGTGTGTGTGTGTGTGTCGTGTGTATGTATTACATCAATGGTCGGCAACCTTTCGAGCATAGTGTGCCAGTTTATAACCAATGCCTTCTTATTAATAACCTTGCGTGGCAGTTTTTTTCAGCACTTTATACCCAAATGTATTTTCCTGCACATGCATAACATAAATAGAATATTTTCGTAGCATTCATTATTGTTTGTAACAAAAAATATATGCTTTATGAGTACATGTCCATCCTTTATTTTAAATATTGATCTTTCCCCCGCTCAGACTATGATTTTAGGGCCCCCCTTGAATCACCTGCTATTCGTAAGATATTTTCGCAGGACCGAGCGATCAAAGAGGGAGACTTGACAGGGGTAAAGCAAGCACTAGACGATGGAGCGCCTCCTGACGGTGACAGGAACGCCGGAAAGAAGCCCATTCACTTCGCCGTGGAAGGCGGGCTCGTCCAGATCACGGAGCTCCTGTGTGAAAGGGGCGCCGACCTCAATGTGGCGAATCTCGAAGACCAGGGTGAGTATTAGCATCCATATGGTTTGTCTGAACTGAAGGTTGTTGAGGAATAACAGTATGACCATAACTCATATGTTGTATCTTAGTGGATTCTCGTTTTTTTTTCAGGAAGAAGTCCACTGCACATGGCTGTCGTGAAAGGTTCTCAAAGTGTCCTGAAATGCTTGCTTGAAAGGAAAGCCGACCCCAATTTCAAAGACAGTGCAGGTGGGCTCCTACTTGGCTTTCCCTCGATAGCCAGATTGTTGTTACGTCACTGAACTACTGTAAATAATTTAATAAGGCAACATAAAAGGGAGGTCTTTTCCAGGAGTTACCTACATATTTTCCTGTTATATTTGCATCCGGCTGTCACCTTTATCTCGCATCGGTGTCAAATACTATAGTGATGAAGGTGAAAGGTAGCTTAGTTAAGTGTGACTGAGCTATAGACATTATGACAGCATAAAAATAATAGCTGGCTGTCAATTTCCAATTACTTCTTATCTCGTATGCATCTCGCAAACAAAAACTATACATTTCCTGTACATTTCTATTTATTAATTTATTATTATTATCATATTTTTTTAAAGGTAAGGGATAAAAACATTTAGCTTTTCTGGCCAATTTCAACTGTATTGTGTTAAGTTGTGTTTGTGTTTATTGCAACGGCAAATTGTACATAAACTAATGTTCACTTAGCACATCACACTGTTGCGAAGGACGATTTTTTTGCCTGATTACCTACTAGATTGAGTTACATATGTATTATGTCTATGTGAAACAGTGAATGAAGGAATATAATGCAACCTTCTGAAGAAATATATTAACGGATAAATGGGTATATGCAGGTACACACACACAAATGTATCATATAAACAACTCCCCTGATAACGATGCAACATACTGCAATCTAATTCACGACCTACACCTTTTTAAAAAGGAGAAACACCACTGCTCACTGCAATACAAAAGGGGGAAATATCTGCCGTGGGTCTTCTGCTGAAATCCGGGGCTGATGTTCATATGAGAGACGAAAACCGTAAGCAGAGAAACCTATTCTTTAATTATATTACTATGTCTGATACACACGCATGCTCATATATATGACCATATGTATACAGGTATGTCATCCCAGTACACACACGCGCGCGCGCGCGCGCGCGTTATGATTATAACTACGATAGTGCTATTAAAAATAACATAATGTTAACAACAAAATGTCAAATATAATATACATTTAGACAAATGGTACTGCATGCTAAAATGAAACTGATTAAAAACACTAGATATTTTAGCAGCGATCCACCATGATTTGAGTTCATTAAAAGTAACAGTTGCGAATCAGACCTAAGCAACTTCTGTTTTGCTATGATTCTGATGTTCAAATTAACTGCGCTAGGAATGACACTGCCAGGCATAAAATTGGACAGTAATTTATTCAGTAATTGAACTTTACATCTAATCCTATAATCTTTGTTAGAGTCCTAAACGGCTTCTTTATCTTACCAACAGACAACTCACCGATTCACATTGCCGTGGAGAAAAGTCATGGAGAAATCGTCCAAATGCTACTGAAGGAGGGAGCCAATGTCCACAATATAAATCTGTCAG